AATAGTCACAAGCTTGTTCAAGGTCAAGTGGTACGAGAAAATGGAGAGCGGATGAATGTGTCTTATATGAATGAGGGGGGGATAAACCCAAAAGAGGGTGAAATGTGACATGTTGGAAGAAAAGGGCGAATGACGGAATAAGACTTTTCTCATCCCTCTGAACGCCTTCGTGTCGCCGCCCGCCCTTCTGTTGGCTACCCCAGTTGCTAGGTCCTTGGCGTCGACTTGAGGTTTACCAAAGAGACGGAGCAGAACACTGATCTGATGTTGATGACGTGAACAGTCGTGAAAATCATCTAGCGCTTCTACCACCCAGCGGAAAAAAGACCTCATTTTGCTGGTTTCGGGCCATATCCTTTGGTATCCTTGGGTATGCACAACTAAGCCATTTATCACCCCAACTTTCGTTTGCAGTGGGCGACCAATTTATCGCACAAAGTGCCTCTGAGTCTTCTCTACCTTGGGAATTGCAAGACGGACAGAGAGAGGCGGCCTGAATCCGGGCGTCAAGGCGAACAAAGACGAGCCAGACAAGGGAGCAAAGCAAATTAGCGAGACGCAGAGTCAAATATGTGTGTTCTCCATCTACAAGTCTGCTGTCTCGCGGGGACGACCTATATTTTTCATGTACACAGACCGTCTCGTGAACCCGTCTACCTCCTTAATGGGAGACCCTTGTCTTTGAAGCTTTTGGAGTGTTCTTCTACTTTCTTCTTCACGGGCGGTCTACCAGCACTATCCGGTTGTGTCAAAACGTTCGAAGCGAGCTTAGAACTACGCCTAAACGCAATCACAGGCTTGAGCTGAAGCCAGTGTGTAAGCATAAGCCTATTCCTAAGGTAAGCCTCCACCCAAGTCAGCGTTGAGCTTTAATGATCCTGCAGCTCTGGCGTCCTGACTCCAGGAGGAGAATGAACGTCTCCAAGAAAAGAAGACCCATTTTTGTTTTATCTTTGCGTAATTATTCAAATTGAGGCTGGTCCATTGCTGTCAAAGCAGAAAAGAAAAGAAAGGGGCACAGCTATCAACATAGACCCCGCATCAAATCCTCATAAGTTTCATAAGTTTCAAAGGCGTCCCACGGCTAGGTAAGTGGAGTGGGGCCCAGCTCGAAAAAGATAAACGGCCGCAAGCACATACGATGTTCCGACTTCTTATCAAGAAATTGCCAGACAGAGGCGCTAAGGCTGAAAGATGAACACGGGACTACCTAGCGCCTAAGGTCTCGCCCCCGCGTTGGCGTCATATGCACAGTCC